CTTCCCAGCATAACCTAACAGGGACACTCAGAAAGGTTTTCAGGCGCGCGTAACTTTAATCAGTTCTTAATCCGCAGACGCATTCGTCAGCGGGCTTTCCAATCCAATGGCCGCATTTACGCAACTTAAACGAAATACCGCTTAAAATCTTGACTAGTAGGATGCTGTCCCTGATATTAAAACATTAATATTTTGAACGACAATGAAACTTTAAACAATGGCTTTGTACAAGTATCTAGATCGGTTACGCAGTTTGTGAGTATTTTCGGATCTTTAACAAGACGTAAACCTTCGAAAATCACTTGAATACACGTGAGATTACCAAGTTACCAGCTGGAACACTATTTGTTCACCCTGACAGGGTGATCTGTACAGAAAAACACGTTAAGCGGGCAGTGCGATTAAAAGCATTATTTTTCGTTGATTTCCACCCTTTTTCTTAAATGTCTAGCCAAGATTTCATTCAATCCAAAAATGACTCAATTAAGTTACAGTCCTTGATTCAATAATTATTTGCGTATTTTTGGATAAGTTTTCGGATGTTTTTAATGTATAAAATTTAGGAGGGGAGATGTTTAAATTTTTGGGAAAATAGGAAAAAACTGGATATGGGGGTTGTTAACAATTAACATATGAAGTGAATATTTAGTAGACAATTACCACATAGTCCACCACCAGAACAAGGTGCCTCTGATCCCATTAGCGACTAACTAGTTTATGTGTATAGCTTTTCTACCCTAATTTATTTCCTTTCCAAATCATCATCATTCCCCCAAAAAACCAACCGTAATGCACGGTTTAGGTGATGTTACACGGGACGATTCGCAACGACGATTTTTAGCCCAACACAGCGTTGCAATATTGGAACAATGTTGTAACCATTCGAAACAATGTCGCAACAATGTTGCAACGCTGTGTTGCGCTAAAAATCGTCGTTGCAAATTGTCTCGTTTAACATCACCTTTACACCGTTGAGACTGGCACTTAAGGAGATGTTACACGAGACGATTCGCAACGACGATTTTTAGCCCAACACAGCGTTGCAATGTTGGAGCAATGTTGTAACCATTCGAAACAATGTCGCAACAATGTTGCAACGCTGTGTTGCGCTAAAAATCGTCGTTGCGAATTGTCTCGTTTAACATCACCTTTACACCGTTGAGACTGGCACTTAAGGAGATGTTACACGAGACGATTCGCAACGACGATTTTTAGCCCAACACAGCGTTGCAATGTTGGAGCAATGTTGTAACCATTCAAAACAATGTCGCAACAATGTTGCAACGCTGTGTTGCGCTAAAAATCGTCGTTGCGAATTGTCTCGTTTAACATCACCTTTACACCGTTGAGACTGGCACTTAAGGAGATGTTACACGAGACGATTTGCAACGACGATTTTTAGCCCAACACAGCGTAGCAATGTTGGGACAATGTTGTAACCATTCGAAACAACGTCGCAACAATGTTGCAACGCTGTGTTGCGCTAAAAATCGTCGTTGCGAATCGTCTCGTGTAACATCACCTTTAAGGGAATTTGCACAAAGTAATCACTACATGAAATAAATAGAACTTGAATTAGCCTGCAAAACCAGCCTTCGCTCCTTTTGCGGCGAAGAGCGAAGAGAGATGGCTGTTTTTCGCAGGCTAAACTTGAATTAGCCTGACCTGGTTTAGTGCTCTGTAGGCTTGAATTTCATACCACTCGCTGCCTGTCAGAAGCCCTCGACTTGCTGCATACTGTGTGTTATACTTGCGCTTAAGCTCCACCTTAAATGTACATAAAACAAACCTTAAGACTTGAAGTAGTACTTTACTTGGCCGGCGACAAGTGATTTTCGGTTAATTTGCCCACAAGAAGGTAAAGCCCTGCAGCGAGAAAAGCGTACATTCCTGATCGCTTCAAGCTTTTAATAACGTGAGATGCAAGTATTGAAAACATATTTGTGGCGTATGAGGGAATTAAATTTCACTTAAGAGAGTTTCCTTCCGGTTAATTTCACTTATTACCATCAGATTTTCTCATTTTTGCTCATCGTTGGATAATAACCCAATAGGTCTTACCTGGATATCTTTCACATTAGGAAAAGGAATTCCAATCTAAGGAAGAAAAATGATTAACGCGGTTACAGATTACCATACTGAATGGCCGCGACATGACATCATAATGTTCTTAAACAAAACGTACACATTTACCGCCAGTTTAATCCTTCAGAATCGAGGAAAGTGATTACTTTTCCATAACATTAACTAGCTCAAAACAGACAATTTAAGTTCTATATTTCCCTTCAATGCAAAAACACTGAAGTATCAACAGTACTTTCATGCGATGTAACACGAGACGATATGCAACGACGATTTTTAGCGCACCACAGCGTTGCAATATTGTTGCAACATTGTTTCGAACGGTTACAACATTGTTCCAACATTGCAACTCCGTGTTGCGATAAAAATCGTCGTTGCAAATCATCCCGTGTAACACCGCCTTTGATGTCTGCCCAATATGAACGAAGGACAAGAGAGATCGTGGTAAGGAAGTGGAAGTATTTTAACAAGTATTTCATTACATATAAAAAGCCCCGAAAAAAAAATATTTGCGTCAGATTCGCATGGGATTCACAGTGGCTCCTGCATCTGCAATTCGTAATGGGGCTAACAAAAACCTGCTTAGCGGAAGGCGAAACCGGGAGAAAACTGCTCTCGCCCATTCTACTCGCTGCTTTACCGCTCATTCGAGCTCGCGCCTAAACACAAACCTCTAACTACTAACGCCAGCGAAGGATACAACGACCACATTAAAAGGGGATAAATTTTTTTCTTGCTGGCTTCTGTAAGCTTAGTTATAGAGTAAACTACAGATTGTAGGTACTCAGTAGTGTATAAACAATAAACCTATTTACTCCAAGCGAGCTTCACCGTAGCCAAGTACAAATGACCTCTAAGGGTTGATTTCTACTCTCACGTAATTTTTCCGTGCGAACGCACGTAAATGAAACAGGGGCAATGTATGAAAGGCCACGCGTAAACGTGAAAGTTGCGAGAGGTTCAACTTTTACGTTTACGCGTGTCCTTCCATACATTGTCTCTGTTTTCTTTACGCGCGTAAAATTTACGTGCGTGCGCACCTAAAAATTAGGCGACAGTGGAAATCCAGCTTTAGACTGCGCAAGAGACAAAGGCTCTTGTTAAAACGTTACCAGAGGTCCGCATTAGCATTGGCAAATCTTGTAGTTTTACGGTTAGAATTTCCTTATCTCTTAAATCTATCGTTAACCGTTGAAAAGTGGAAAAAGCTCCTTTTTAATACAAACATACGCTAGAATGACTTTTTCCTACTTGTTGCTTTTCTTCAACGACAAGTCTTAAGATAATATCACAGAGCAATTATAATGCAGTTAAAAGAAGTGTAAGTGTTATCTTGCTGGCGACCAAAATAAACTAAAAAAATGCAAAAATCTGAATTACGACAAGAACTCATATGATGGGGAGACTGTCTGAACATCTCTTAACTTTGGGTGAAGAAGGCTGCCATTAATGATAGGAACTCTCCCTTATTAAATACACACGCACCAAAACAGTGTCATTACATGTGGGTAAGGGATATTGTTATTCAAGGTTTAAATGTCTTAAGGCTCCAGTTTCGATCAATTTGCCGAGTTCATTACGCGCACATTCTCCTATGGCGTTGTGGCGTTGGTCAACTGATTCTAGCGACTTAAAGAGCTTTAAGAAATATACTATTGCCTTGCAATCAGATGATGGAACTTGACATTGCTGCAGGTTGATTCTGTTGCTAAAGTCGCCGTTTTCTTGCAGCTGTTTGGCCACGTATGTCACTGTGTCTTCGCTATTATACTCGAACAAACACTTCATCATGAGTAAAGTCATCTTCCCATTAACTTGAGCTGGTGTTGACAAAAGGGATTCTTTAAGACATTCAACATAACCCTCGACTGCTTCATTTGGCTGACCATGCAGCAATCCCAAGAGAAACTGCAAAATCAAGAACCAGCTTTCTTTTTCACTTTGCAAATAACGTTTGACCCTCGTTTTCAGCGCGGCGGGTTCCATTCTCACATTCTGTCGCTTGCCGTTTTCACCTGCTATTGCTTCCAACAAACAGCAGTTTCTTGTTTCAATCTCAAATTCTTCACTGCGGAATATATGTCGTTCTTCTCCTATCCCTTTTTCGGCTAGTAACCCGAGGTCACACAGAGTTTCTTCAACTGAATCTGAATAGGATTGCCATGGTGTAAACGGCATGAACACAAAAATTTCAAGGCTCTTTGTTACACGTCTGTTAGTCTAATGCCATTCGAGTTGTCTCGCTTGATTACACTCCTCAGAAAGTCACACACTATGTAGCAGAACACAGGAATGCGACATAACGACAGCAAATGCGAACTCGCGCCGATGTACTCTTTCACTGCTGTTGCTATCGCGTTATCCTTAGCTCCCTTACAATAGTTATCCACCCATTTGTACACTTTCTCATCGGTAAATTCCTGAATGCGGGCTATCCTATCAAGATATGGGAACTGAAATATTATATTGGGTCTACTCGTTGTCAACACAGTTGCCCCGCGAAGAAGCTTGTTCTGTAGTATTTTGAGTTATAGTGCCGAAACTGGAATTTTCGCTGTTACACTATTCTCATAGCCTGCCTCATTATTCTCAGTGCAGCTTTGTAGATGCTTGAATTCATTCAATCCATCAAATATGAGTAGCACTTTCACAGGGTTATCCACCAACTGTCGAAAAACGGTTTCAACGATACCCTCTGAACATGCACCTCGATTCAATAAACCCTTCCGAGACATGTTGCTAGTTTCTTCAGAATTGAACCAACTGAATTTAAACAAGAACGCAAAATCAAAACTGTCAAGAGGTGTTTTACTCCAATCGCGCGACAATTTCTGGCACAACAAAGACTTTCCTCTTCCAGGGGCACCAACAACAAGAACTTTTGAAGCGGTTGGAAGGTATAAATCGTCGTATCTATAAATCAACTCACCATTGTTCATCTGTAGTGCAACATCTACGAAAATGTCATCTAGTAACAATCTGTTCTCACAGTGACCTATTAAGGCCTTCTCCGTATTTACTGAAGTCAGTTTTTGCATATAAATTCTGACTCGACGGATCGATGCTCGCTTGAAAAAATAATATGAATAGAACTCAATATCAACAGTGAAGTTCCTATGAATACGTTTCTTACGCACCAGGTAAATAATTTCTACAGACAGAACAAGAAACAAACAAAAGATGTTTAGCATCAAAACCAGCATAGACACGACGGTCTTGTCTTTAGCGAGTGAATTGGGGCAGTGAAAAGAAGGAGACGTTCCTTTAAACTCTGAATTCCAGCATGAGACATTCGGCTGTAGTGAGAGAACACAGTAAAATTCGGTGGGAAATATGAATGGGAAGAACACTGAGTTATGTAACACTACGAACAAGATCGTTAGTGCTAGTCGAGCAACCAAGCAAGACAAATATAACCGAAATATTCGCCTCGGGTGTTGCTTTTCTCTGGAGAATTCTGCTTCCAATACGTTAAACCGAGGCACAACGCGAGCTAAAGCTGTTTGCAACCAACAAGAATAAAACAGGGAAACAGTCAAAATTAAAGCGGATTTCACTAACACGACACCCCAGAGTGGTAGACGACAATTGTACTGCAGGTCATACTTCTGATAACACTTGTCCTGAAGGAATTGATTATTCCTCTCGTCAGACTGGATGTCGAAGGTAATAGTGCACTGAAACTTTTCCTGTTCTCTTGATCCAAAGTTTCTGCGACTGCTGTTAAGGAAACTCCAGCAGCAAGGTAGAAAATAATCAACACATAACCAAACAATGGAAACTTGCTTGGAGGTAAAAAATCCTTCAAAAGTCCTAAGTACAACATGTCGCAAAGACAGAACGATGGAGGCGAAATGGGGGAAAAGATCAGGAAGATCTTTTGTAAATAAAGAAGACAGACAGCGAAGGGGTGACACAGGCCTTTTAAGTTCGATTTTAAGTATTTTGAGCCACAGAATGCCTTTCTTGCTGAGCGAATGACAATCAAACCTTCCCATCTGTAAACGCAGCTGATGAAATGCTCTGTTTTAAATTTAAATACCAAAAAACACTTTCACTTTGTTTGTACATGAAGCCAAGCATTGACATGTCGTCTTTTGAATCCTTGATTAATACATACAGTTATTGCATCTTTTTCTTGCCACACAAGTTACTGTACTCCGGGTTTTATTTCGTCTGAATGGATCAATTAATACTTTCATGAAATCATAAACACGAAAACACATTTTGCAGGGCTAAAAAAGCAAAATGGGTTTGTTTTTGTGCCAATATTCAGTTATCACATGTGCGTACGAACGTAACGCTAATCCTTTCAAATACTGGTCAAACAAATTTATGTTTTTGTGTATTTACTTAATGAAAAAGCCCTCGTCTTCTCACAAGCTCGCTAAACCATAATCTAGTTGTAACGAAATTAGTTCATTTCTGAAAAAAAAGTTTTTTTTTTTCAGTGACCTACAGTTCACCTCATTAATTAAGTGATTTCCCCCAAAGATAGAGATTGTTAATTTTAGCAGCGCAAGTTTCAAAATATTACTCATGCTAAGTCAGCGTGGGTGGCAATATAGCCTGCGAGCAAGCTCTCCTATTTGGGCAAGCGAAGCGAGCCTCGCGAGAACGCGCGAGCGAGGGGCCGAGAAAAGAAGAGCTTGCAACCATCCCTTTCATATTTTCATTTCCACCCCGGAAACCCCGGGACTCCGCAAAGCGTGAAAACTGTCACCGCAAACGTGCCGCCTGTCAAGTAAGTTTAGACAGCCGAGGGCGCGTAGAATTATTTATTTATAAATCGCTTTCGCAACTGCATCAAGGCAATGTTTTTAATCACTGATATGTTTTTTTTTCCACGGGGACATCGAACTTCAACGTGTCCGCTCGTTTAAGAACTCACTACTTTGATTCTCGTTTCGTTTGTTTTTGAAAAGTCGTCCATACTGCAGTGTAGAAGACTACTCCCCATCGCAATCACCAACAAAAACATCATATATTTGTCCGTCTGGAACCGGAGAAAAGCGTTTTCCTGCACTTGGTTCTCTTAAGGTTTACTCCAGTTGCTTCCAACTCTTTCTCTTTTCCTTCTTTACGGTCAAGCTACACAGCTACACTGTCAAGTACATGTTTCTGAACTTTTCTACCCAGCAGAATTCAATCGCGCGAAGAAACCGATGTTGGAAGACAGCGCTTTAGTCACTCTTCACTTTCACTCTCCCGGTTTTCAGAACTAAACAAGGCGCTTGACACAAATATATACAACTGATTCATTGTCCTTCCTCAAGAACTACAAACTCAGTCCGACTTATCCTCGGCGCGCAATATTCTCTTTGCGAGAATTACATCAAACGAGCCCGTCTGTATTAAGGGCTGAAACAAGTTCTCGGTACCAATCTGATCCCCCTGAGAACCAAATTTGAAACACAGACGAAGCGGGTGCCAGCTTGGCCTGTTATCAATCAACTTTAATTTCCGGAACGTCATTTTTCAGCCAATGGTATTTCCCTTGGTATGGGCGAAGTACAAATGAAAATTTGAAAGGGATGGTTGCAAGCTCTCCTTTCGCCGGCCCATCGCGGCTCCGCCGCTCGCTTCGCTCGCCCAAATAGGAGAGCTTGCTCGCAGGCTAGTGGCAATACAATACGCCTCCTCTCGATCTGATCTATTTTTACTTTACGACCATTATTCACTAAACTGTTTTTCACGCTAATTCAGCTGTTCTTTCGCACACAACTCACTCATCCGAAACATTGTATTTCCTGACAACTCTTCTTTAATGCATTTGTCGTTATCATGAACAAAAGTGCTCTAATTTCACCTCCAGTTGTAGATATTCTGTTTCCTGGCACAAGTACTCTAATTTTGCGTCAAGACAAACAGTTGTCAATAATCCTTTAATTGAAACACTGCATGCAAATAGACATAATCGATATGCCATCATCAACCCACCATTCATGAATATTTTTCGATCGATGTTCTCATGCCAAGAGAAACAGCTGCAGCGAAGCGACTCGCCAGTTGACCACTGAAACCGTGTCGTTCGATTTTAAGAAAATGGAAGGAGTAAAACAGCTTTTGAATCCGACCCGCTTTAGCATATTTGGCTACACCATAGTTGTACTTTTTGCTTCGACTGGAATCGCTTTCATTGGAATAACAAGCAAGTTACGAATCAGCGAAAGGAGAAAATTTCTATGCGATTTCCCCGACGGTTTGTCTGGAAGGAATTTTCATCAGGCGCAGTGTTTTGAAAAGTACGAACGACAATACAATTCTCCTCTACCTCTCTACGGATCTGTACTTTTGAGTTTCTCGGTTGTTCTTTTTGTTTGCTTCATTTACTCTTGGTGTTGTGTTAAGTCTTGGATCGACAAACTAGAAGCGGTGTTAACACCAGACGCGGAAAATCCACGTCCAAGACCAAGAGTCAAATCTCGTCGAATCTTCAGTTTTTACTTCCTCCATCTTGCAGCACGTTTGGTACTGGGGATTGCGCTAACAGCAGTTCAAAAATTTATAATGCATCCATCTAGATTTCCGGTAGAATTCACTTGTGTTTTAAAAGCAACTCAACCAAGGAATGTGACGGGAAATAAGGAGACGCAGGCTCTATGTCACAATCCAGTCGCCTCTGAAAAGAACACCTGCTTAGCAGCAGTATGGATACTGCAATCAGTTTTTGCATTTCTCGTACTTGGGGAAATGCTTTACCTCGCATTGAGAGCTTTAAAACATCCTACCTTCACCTTTGACTCAGAATTCTGTGTAAAGTACTTCTTCCACAAAAGCGCAACTGCCGTGACATCAGGTGGGTTAAGAGAGCGCATGAAAAAACGAATTTTACAACAAACAGAGCTTCTAGAACCACTAATCCACTGTAACGATGAAAACGACGGCGAAGGAAGGATTTACTTAGACGACATTTTTCTCGATGTAGTCATCTACACTGGAAGAGCAAAGGAAGAGTTTTTGAAGCAGTGCGAAAGACACCTAATATATGACTTCTATTTGAAGCCTGAAAGTCAGCGAGGATCAGTTGTGGTAAACACGCGCGCGGAGTTATTTCTTCCCAACGTGGACGTTCAAAACCCACGAAAAATCCTCGTTATTGGTCGACCAGGAATCGGAAAATCCTTGCTGTGCCAGAGACTATTACGTGACTGGAGTAGGGGAGAACTCTTTCACGACAAGAAGAGGCAATTTAAGTATGCTTTCTTGTTTCCATTTCGATCGTTTTTCGCAAAGTCAGATGAGAAGATCTGCCTTCGGAAATTACTTACTCGAGCTAGCAATCTCGATGGAGACCTGGACGATCACGTCTTTCAAGAAATGTTAGATCACCCCGAGAAGATTCTTCTTGTATTTGACGGCTTGGATGAGTTCAAAGACCACAAAAGCTGCACCGTGAACGACGCATCTCGATACGGGAACAGCTATTCAGAGGAAATGTCTGCTTCTGCCTTGTATGTGAAATTGCTCCAGGAACTACTGTTACCTGGAGCTGCGGTGCTCACCACAAGTAGACCAACCGTTCTTGAAAGTCTAGGAATCTCATTATTTGAGCGGACTGTGGAGATTGTGGGCTTTACAGAAGAAAGGGTTCGTTCTTATGTTCAGAACTACTGCAAGCACGACAAAAACATGACAGCAACAAGAATGTGGGAACACATCCAACATAATTTGACCCTTTTGTCTCTATGTTACATTCCCGTGAATTGCCGCATAGTTTGCTTTCTCCTGAAGGAGCTAATCAAGCTAAGCTATCAAAACAGCATCGCTTTACCCACAAGACTCACAGAAATTTACCAAGGAGCATTAAGACTGCTCATTTTCAAGCATCACCCAGAGTATCGGGAAAAACCATTTCTCGGAAATGAAGGCTTTTCAGAAACAGTGGAAAAACACTTGAGCGATCTCGGAATGCTGGCAATGAGAGGAATAACAGAAGGGCGAATGATATTTGGATTGAAAGAAGTAGGCGAGATGAAAAATTGCGGTTTGCTTACCCAAATGCCAGACTACAGAGTGTCTCTTGTCGAGTTCGAACAATGCTTTTGCTTCACTCATCTAACTCTACAGGAGTTTCTTGCCGCACGAGAAATAGCGAAAATGGATCCGCATAAACTCTCTGAGTTCATCGCTACTAATGCTGAAGATCCACGGTGGCACTTGGTCATTCAGTTTGTCGCAGGGCTTCTCCATGGTCAAAAAAATGAAGTAGCTAACAGCTTCGTCTGCCGACTTCAGGATACATTGCTTTCGACGTGTTTCAACAGAAAGAAGGCTTTGCTTATGATGAAGTGTTTATACGAATACAACGATGAAGCTACTGTGAACAGAGCGGCGTTTGAGCTACAAAGAAAGAACAATTTTGACAAGGAGATTCGTCTGGTAAATAGTCAAATCACACCTACGGACTGCGTGGCAATCGTGTACTTTTTAAAACACATTGACTCTATAGACTACAAACTTGACTTGAGCCGCAATTTTATCGGGGAGGGTGGATGCAACGAACTTGCCAAGCTGCTATCGGAAGGAGGTCCCGTAAAACTACATATTCCAGAAAACAAGATCACGGATCAGGGTTTAAATGCCCTTGCACAGGCCATTACATCGGACAGGTGTAAACTAAAGGAGTTAAACATCATACTGAACGACTTACTGAGTCCTGAAGGGTTTTCCCATCTCTGGGAATCATTTAAGAACAGAAACTGTAAAGTCATTCGTTTGCGTCTTGGAGGAGACCAGGTAACGGACAAGGTTATATCGCAGTTGTGCGATACAATGGAGAACGTGAGTTGCAAACTGTCTATACTGAGTATTTTTAGCGAGGAAGTAGCAAATGAAACTGTTTTACTACGTTTGTGTAAAACGCTTAAACACCCAAATTGTCAATTGACCGATTTAAGTATCGACTGTAACAGAGTGACCAATGAAGGTGTTTATCACATCTGTGATGCACTGGAGAATCAGCATTGTAAACTCACTGATTTACATCTCATCAGCAACCGCTTGACTGCAGTAGTGGTGCCTCTACTTTGTAAGGCTATACGTCACAACAACTGCAAACTCACTAGTCTGAAAGTTACATCGTGGAACATTATGTGGGACAAGGGAGGCAAAGACCTGCAGGACGCCTTAGAAGCAAAATGCCGTGCTCAAACTCAAATATCCCCCCAAAAGTGATCGCAAGAGACTGGAGGCAGGTAATTTCTCAAGTTCCATACAACTGTACAGTGGAACCTCGATATAACGAACCTCTATATAAAGAAGTCCTCGAAATAACAAACGATTTTCTTCAGCCCAGCCAAAATTACAGTAAAATGTATGGAACAGAACCTCGATTTAACGAAATCCTCGTTATAACGAACACAGTCCACAAGCGCAAACATAACATTTACCTCGATATAACAAATAAATATCAGCATATGATAAAAGATGAAATAAATGCCAAACAGGCCAACATGTGAACAGTAGTTTTCAGCAGTTTTGTTTGCCTGTTCTTACGTTTTTAGTTCCGTAGCTTTGTATAGCGGGGTATTGAAATGTTACAGTAAAACCTCTATCAGGCGAACACCTTCGGAACCTTCCAAAGTGTCCGATTAATAGAGGTTCTAAAAATTGCGCAATGTTTGTTAACGATCAACATTCAACGGTCACTCTGTACGGTGATAAAGTTGCGTGTTGTTAAAGAAGCTATCTAGAGTTCAAGTTCATTACCTTTCATTACGAACTTTAATTTGTTTTGCAAATGCAAAACATTAACTGATTTTAGTACCTATTGCAAGGACGTAATCCAATACTACTACTGTCAATTCAGTCTGGTGTCCGCTTTAACAGAGGCTTTTAACAATGGAAATTAGCCAAATACAACTCATGTGTCCGCTGAATAAGGGCTCGTTATAAAGAGAAATATCAGACGTTCGTTTGGGGACCCAGCTTAGTGTCTGCTTAATAGAGGGTATCCGCATAATTGGGGGTCCGCTTAATAGAGGTTTCACTGTATTTCAGTAATTTTTCAAACCCGGAAATTCTGGGTATTGTAAATTAGTTATTAACTATCACTCGATACAACGAAAAGTTTGGTGGTTTTCCCGAAAATTCGTTAAATGGAAGTGTCGAGGTTCTACTGTAATTAGGGACGCGCGATTGCTTAAAAAAATGTCCGCTCGTATTATATGCTAAATCATCGAATAAGAGGTTTATTATTCCACTTTAAAAAAATTGTTATTTTCATTGGCTTCTATTTCTTTGGTAAGAGTATTCAGAAACATCCTGATTCCGTCTGTGAGAGTGACGTTAGAAATACGTCATCGAAATGGAAACAAGCCAAAGGGTAAAAATACGAGGAAAGAAGAAAATCGAATAAAACAAATTGCAGGTAGCCCCGCCGGGATTTGAACCTGCACTCCAACTTCCTCCGGTGCAAAATGTGAAGCCTCGTACCACTGGGCCATGCGACCACTGCCATTCACACTGTTTGAACTTGTGGAGGAGTATTTATCATGACTTCAAAGATACAATTGACGAAAAATTGCTTAAACAAGTATTTCCAAGCCATTTCGCATTATTTCCGTGTTTATTCATTCTTGGGCTTTATAAAGGCCGCTCGATGAACGCACTCGTCTTCTTTCGCCGCACTCGCTGAAGTTCAGGTCGCCGGTTTTCGCCCTGTTGTAGGCCGGTAAAACCAGGACACTATAGTGTATTACGACCTCGTATTTTGCGCGTTCTCTTGACCTTATGTGGTAAAATGACATAATAGTGGAATAACAACAACAGTTAATGCATCTTGCTCTTGCCACACAAGTTACTGACTTAAGTGAGTAGGTGTATTCCTGGTTTTATTTCGTTTGAATGGATCAACTCATACTTAACATGAAATCATAAACACGAAAACACATTTTGCAGGGCTAAAAGTGAAAAATAAATTTCTTTTTGTGCCAATATTATCAAATGTGCGTACGGTCATGACGCTAGTCCCCTTCAAAATATTTGTCAAACTAATTTATGTTTTAACTTAATAAAAAAACCCTCCTCCCAACCAGCTCAATTTTGCAAACCATTATCTAGTTGTAACAAGAACGCGCTAACAGCGCCATTCAGTCTCGCTTGGAGATTAGATCGAGAAATGAGGAGCCATTAATTCTACACGAAACAGGATTTACTCGATAAAGGTTTTTTACTTCCTACTTTATCGACGTCGATACTTTTCACTTGCTTCTGAATTCATTTAGTACACGTGTTAGCGACGACCTGAAATACGTCTGCGTTCGCAGGCTATGCGCGTGTATAAATACACGAAAATTCAAGGGCCTCGATTCCAGAGAAATTACGTCATTGGCAGAGATCAAAAAAGTGATTTACATGGCACGTCATTTCAATCATCGCCGAAAATAAATCGCATGCTCATCATAAGAGCCAATTGCATACAGTGAAAGTTTACAACACCCGACCATCGCAGTTTTCATTTTGCTAATTAAAATTCTTATTTTTTTCGACCGCTCAGTAGTGTGTTCACTTGTTTCAAAGTAATCAACGCTTTCAAGCGATAGACACGTTGCTGAAAAGCTCTAAATGTAATCTTTCCAAAGCTTTCTTCGCAAAACATGCTTTTCTTCGCTCTCGCAGCTTAGTCCCAGTTTCCACAGTCTTTGCAAGGAACGCCTGGCACAATGACCCCCCATTTGTATATAAAATACGACGAAAAAGCCCGGGGGGTACTTCCAGAAAAATTGGGTAGGGGTGTGCGGCACGCTTCCTGAAACCCCTACCCTATTTCAGACCAAAATCTGTGATTTTCTCTACCCTATTTCAGACCTGAAGCCCTAAAGCCCGGCGCAAGACAAACTGTTACGGCACGTACACGGTTGGCGTAAACGTTAAAAGGGAAATGGTCTTATCGCCAAATGAAGAAGAAGTAGCTTCTTCTAAAAAACATACCCAATTCAAGAATAGGAGTGCCAAACCACACCGTATTTCAGACCAAAATGGTCAAAATTGATACCCTATTTCAGACCAAAACGGCTAAAGAAACTTAACTTTTGGCGCCGCACATACTTATATAGTCTATATAAGGGACTACCCGCCCTTCCCCCGCGGGGGCGAAAAACGCTTTACCGATCATAAGTCTCGCTGCTTACGCAAGCGAGACGAATGAATCCATTTAATTTGCTTAAAAAGCAACAGAAAAAAAAAACTCGTACAATTATTCGTTTTCACCGACCTATAGTTTATAAAGATATCTTATCCGCATTAATTAATAAGGGCAGCTTTGGTTACTACACGTATTTAGTATTTTTGTGCCTTAAACCCCGTATTAATTAAGCGATTTCCCCCAAAGATAGTGATTGCTAATTTTAGCAGTGCAAGTTTCTAAATATTACTCATGCTAAGTCAGCGTGGATGGTAATATAATACGCCTCCTCTAGATCTGATCTATTTTTACTTTACGGCCATTTATCATTAAGTTGTTTTTCGCGCTGTTCTTTCGCACAAAACCAACTCAATCCGAAACATTTTACTGCCTGATAACTCTCCTTTAATTACTCCTGTCGCTATCATGAGCAAAAGTGCTGTAATTTCACCTGCGGATATTCTGTTCTCCAGCACAAGTACTCTAATTTCACGTCAAGACAAACAGTTGTCGATAACCCTTTAAACAAATATCAGGGGCACCCAACGTCAAGGATAAAAGGGGATAAAAATATGACTATATCTACCTTTTAAATACTAAAATACTTTAACAATGCTATGTTTTAGTGGTTTTGAACTATATATATATTATATATATTATAGGTATAATTGATTTGCCATCAATAACCCAATATTCATGAATATTTTTCCATCGTTGTTCTCATGTCAAGAGAAACAGCTGCAGCGAAGCGACTTGCCATTTGATCACTGAAACCCTGTCGTTCCCTTTTAAAGGGGCTATGTCACCCCACACGCATGCGCGAGCCAATGAAAACAAACTTGAAAAAGTTGGCCCATCTTTTTCAAGTTCTGTCGGAGATTTTGGAAGGCTGTTTTTATCTGTCTAAATCTCAGCCATCGTTCGATAGTTAGCGAAGTTTTGTATTAAGAATCGTTCTATGGTGATTACAGAATAAAGTTTTGGCGTTATTTTGAAATTGTTTGCCTGTGGAATGTTTTTACGTGGATTTACTGTGTTCTCTTATCAGCGGCCGTTGTAATGGCAGAGTTAATGACGGCTACTCCACAATGAGTGATGGAATCTTCCCTATAGTTCACAGAACCTTTCTATTGAGTTATTTTAGAGGTTGCTGGCTCTTGGATTTTTCTTGTGCTCAAAATATGTCGACATATAATGAAGCGGCTATCGAGTTGGCGGCGGCCGTTTTTGGTAAACGATTACAAGAGCATCAGGCCATGAGTTTCGTGACCAAACGAAACTCCTGGCGAAGGAAACATCATAAAATTCGGCTAGATTCCTTCTTGTATTTATATGGATTCACGGCAAAGATAAACACGACCGTTTGCTCGTCCAGATTGTTCTCAACGGACTTAGAGAGGCACCTTAGTACGAGTTAGATCCTGTAAATGCCATGTTTTTGAACTGTTTGTGTTCGAGCATATTTTTGGAAAATAGCAGAGTTTACTTTCCCTTTTTATCAACGGACTGCTTATAGTGGAGTAGTATACCAATGATGCTTGGTTCTGTTTTTCTCGACGCCGCAGTGATTCGGCACGATCGAACAATTTTGCGCGATACCTTATTATAGGAAATTAACGCTCCATGAGATTAAGGTATTGGAAATTAACGCGAATTTAATGGAAAACGACTGTCGAATAAAGAAAATTAACGCGAAAGAGGAGGTAGAATTTCATAAAAAGGAAATCAACGCGATTATCTTGGCCGAAATCAAAGGAGAAGATATTGACATCATTTCTGACAGCGACAACGATGAAGATGGACTCGAAGTATTGTAAACCTTCGCCTTAGCTTTTGTGAAAGATGAAAAATAAACGGTAAATGGAAAGAAAGAAAACTTGTAGTTAATGTCTTTTTAGGTGTCAAGAATGTCTGGACAGGTTCCAAAATTGGGGTTAAAATACTGGAAATTAAGAGCGCGGAAATTAACGCTCAACAAAATCAACGCCAATTTTAACGATTCGCGTTAATTTCATGGAGCGTTAATTTCCTATAATAAGGTAATGTATGTTTCCCTAAGATCAAAACAAAGACTTGATGTCCGGCGTTGCTAAAACGAGGGTAAGGGTAACACCAAGGGTGGGGGTGAGGGTAAGGGTAAGGGTAAGGGTGGGGGTGAGAATTGTTGTGGGAATTCAAATTTAGATTTTCATCCAAAATTTCTCCCTCCCCCAAAATTGTCTTCTTTATACTTTATATTTCATTGAATTTTACAATTCGTACGTCTTGGACTTGGCGCGGTTTGAAGACCATACATTTGCCTTTTTTAAGGGAAAGTGTTAGATGTACAGTTTGTTCGTCTCCAAATGTGACATATCTGAAAGATTGTCGGCATATTTTTTGAGGTCTTCCTCAACTCTTGGACTGATTTTTTTTTCTCCAGGCTTTGTCCGCAGAAGAACGCAATTTCTGTGAAAAAATTTCTTTTTTGTGCTGAACAAAACCAGTAAGAGTAACGGATGAATGATCGCTGCATGATCATCGATACAGTTATGTTTCCATACGCTTTCACCCTATCCTCACCCCCACCCCCACCCTTACCCTTGGTGTTACCCTTACCCTTACCCTTACCCTCACCTTCCACCCTCCACCTTACCCTTGGTGTTACCCTTACCCTCGTTTTAGCAACGCCGGTTTGCTCGTCCAGATTGTTCTCAACGGACTTAGAGAAGCTCCTTAGTACGAGTTAGATCCTGTAAATGCCATGTTTTTGAACTGTTTGTGTTCGAGCATATTTTTGGAAAATAGCAGAGTTTACTTTCCCTTTTTATCAACGGACTGCTTATAGTGGAGTAGTATACCAATGATGCTTGGTTCTGTTTTTCCCGACGTCGCAGTGATTCGGCACGATCGAACAATTTTGCGCGATAATGTATGTTTCCCTAAGATCAAAACAAAGACTTGAAGTCTCTTGTTCTATCAGCATCTAAATTATAAAATCACTAGCGACAGACAAGTCTAATTGTTAATGATTTGAAACAGTCTTGGTCTTTATCTTCGGTCTAGCGTCTTTTGTAGCTCGTTTGTAAAATACAACTTCGATTTATTTTGTTGAATAAGACAATATGTTGTTGTTGAATTTTTGTTTGCGCACTATTTTATGAATGGCTCGCGTTTTTACTCCAAAACTACAAGTAAAATTGTCGTCACAATTTTATTCTTGATCTAGCTTAACCAGAGAAGAAACGTTCCGTAAATTCTATCGAAATATCCCTTATCTAAACCCATTTCGCTTGTTAACCTCTCTAAATTCAGAGCCTTGGACATGACAGAGAACATGGAGAAAGTCACGCGTTAAAAACAATAGAATTTTGACAGTTGAAAGTAATTTGCATAACCTCAGAGCGCACATGGAGAAAGTCACGCGTTAAAAACAATAGAATTTTGACAGTTGAAAGTAATTTGCATAACCTCAGAACGTATGTTCTACAGCTGACATAGCCCCTTTCAACAAATATCAGGGGCACCCAACGTCACGGATAAAAGGGGATAAAAATATGCCTATATCTACCTTTTAAATACTAAAATACTTTAACAATACTATGTTTTAGTGGTTTTGAACTATATTCTCGTTGGGTGCCCAGGAGATATGCAAATAGGTATAATTGATTTGCCATCAATAACCCAATATTCATGAATATTTTTCCATCGTTGTTCTCATGTCAAGAGAAACAGCTGCAGCGAAGCGACTTGCCATTTGATCACTGAAACCCTGTCGTTCCCTTTTAAGAAAATGGAAGGAGTAAAACAGCTTTTGACTCCAACCCGCTTCAGCGTATTTGGCTACACTATAATTGTACTTTTTGCTTCGACTGGAATCGCTTTCATTGGAATAACAAGCAAGTTACGAATCAGCGAAAGGACAAAATTTCTATGCCATTTCCCCGACGGTTTGTCTGGAAGGAATTTTCATCAGGCGCAGTGTTTTGAGAAATACGAACGACAATACAATTCTCCTCTACCTCTCTACGGATCTGTGCTTTTGAGTTTCTCGGTTGTTCTTTTTGTTTGCTTCATTTACTCTTGGTGCTGTGTTAAGTCTTGGATCGACAAACTAGAAGCGGTGTTAACACCAGAAGCAGAAAATCCACGTCCAAGACCAAGAGTCAAATCTCGTCGAATCTTCAGTTTTTACTTCCTCCATCTTGCAGCACGTCTGGTATTGGGGATTGCGCTAACAGTAGTTCAAAAATTTATAATGCATCCATCTGGATTTCCTGTAGGATTCACTTGTGTTTTAAAAGCAACTCAACCAGGGAATGTGACGGGAAATAAGGAGACGCAGGCTCTATGTCACAATCCAGTCGCCTCTGAAAAGAACACCTGCTTAGCAGCAGTATGGATACTGCAATCAGTTTTTGCATTTCTCGTACTTGGAGAAATGCTTTACCTCGCATTGAGAGCTTTAAAACGTCCTACCTTCACCTTTGACTCAGAATTCTGTGTAAAGTACTTCTTCCACAAAAGCGCAACTGCCGTGACATCGGGTGGGTTAAGAGAGCGCATGAAACAACGAATTTTACAACAAACAGAGCTTCTAGAACCACTAATCCACTGTAACGATGAAAACGACGGCGAAGGAAGGATTTACTTAGACGACATTTTTCTCGATGTAGTCATCTACACTGGAAGGGCAAAGGAAGAGTTTTTGAAGCAGTGCGAAAGACACCTAATATATGACTTCTATTTGAAGCCTGAAAGTCAGCGAGGATCAGTTGTGGTAAACACGCGCGCGGAGTTATTTCTTCCCAACGTGGACGTTCAAAACCCACGAAAAATCCTCGTTATTGGTCGACCAGGAATCGGAAAATCCTTGCTGTGCCAGAGACTATTACGTGACTGGAGTAGGGGAGAACTCTTTCACGACAAGAAGAGGCAATTTAAGTATGCTTTCTTGTTTCCATTTCGATCGTTTTTCACAGAGTCAGATGAGAAGATCTGCCTTCGGAAATTACTTACTCGAGCTAGCAATCTCGATGGAGACCTGGACGATCACGTCTTTCAAGATATGTTAGATCACCCCGAGAAGATTCTTCTTGTATTTGACGGCTTGGATGAGTTCAAAGACCACAAAAGCTGCACCGTGAACGACGCATCTCGATACGGGAACAGCTATTCAGAGGAAATGCCTCCTTCTGCGTTGTATGTGAAATTGCTCCAGGAACTACTGCTACCTGGAGCTGCGGTGCTCACCACAAGTAGACCAACCATTCTTGAAAGTCTAGGAATCTCATTATTTGAGCGGACTGTCGAGATTGTGGGCTTTACAGAAGAAAGGGTTCGCTCTTATGTTCAGAGCTACTGCAAGCACGACAAAAACAACACGACAGCAACAAGAATGTGGGAACACATCCAACAGAATTTGACCCTTTTGTCTCTATGTTACATTCCCGTAAATTGCCGCATAGTTTGCTTCCTCCTGAAGGAGTTAATCAAGCTAAGCTATCAAAACAGCATCGCTTTACCCACAAGACTCACAGAAATTTACCAAGGAGCATTAAGACTGCTCATTTTTAAGCATCACCCAGAGTATCGGGAAAAACCATTTCTCGGAAATGAAGGCTTTTCAGAGACAGTGGAAAAACACTTGACCGATCTCGGAATGCTCGCAGTGAAAGGAATAACAGAAGGGCGAATGATATTTGGATTGAAAGAAGTAGGCGAAATGAAAAATTGCGGTTTGCTCACCCAAATGCCAGACTACAGAGTGTCTCTTGTCGAGTTCGAACAATGCTTTTGCTTCACTCATCTAACTCTACAGGAGTTTCTTGCCGCTCGAGAAATAGCGAAAATGGATCCGCATAAACTCTCTGAGTTCATCGCTACCAATGCTGAAGATCCACGGTGGCACTTGGTCATTCAGTTTGTCGCAGGGCTTCTCCATGGTCAAAAACATGAAGCAGCAAACAGCTTCGTCTGCCGACTTCAGGATACATTGCTTTCGACGTGTTTCAACAGAAAGAAGGCTTTGCTCATGATGAAGTGTTTATACGAGTACAACGATGAAGCTACAGTGAAGAGAGCGGCGTTTGAGCTACAAAGAAAGAACAATTTTGACAAGGAGATTCGCCTGGTAAATAGTCGAATCACACCTACGGACTGCGTGGCAATCGTGTATTTTTTAAAACACATTGACTTTATAGACTACAAAGTTGACTTGAGCGGCAATTTTATCGGGGAGGGTGGATGCAACGAACTTGCCAAGCTGCTATCGGAAGGAGGTCCCGTAAAACTACATGTTCCAAAAAACAAGATCACGGATCAGGGTTTAAATGCCCTAGCACAGGCCATTACATCGGACAGGTGCAAACTAAAGGAGTTAAACATCAGAATGAACGACTTACTGAGTCCTGAAGGGTTTTCCCATCTCTGGGAAGCATTTAAGAACAGAAACTGTAAAGTCATTCGCTTGCGTCTTGGAGGAGACCAGGTAACGGACAAAGTTATATCGCAGTTGTGTGATACACTGGAAAACGTGAGTTGCAAACTGACTATACTGAGTATTTTAAGCGAGGAAGTAGCAAATGAAACTGTTTTACTACGTCTGTTTAAAACGCTTAAACACCCAAATTGTCAATTGACTGATTTAAGTATCAATTGTAACAGAGTGACCAATGAAGGTGTTTATCACATCTGTGATGCACTAGAGAATCAGCATTGTAAACTCACTGATTTACATATTATCAGCAACCGCTTGACTGCCGTAGTGGTGCCTCTACTTTGTAAGGCTATTCGTCACAACAACTGCAAACTCAGTAGTCTGAAGGTTACATCGTGGAATATTACGTGGGACAAGGGAGGCAAAGACCTGCAGGACGCCTTAGAAGCAAAATGCCGTGCTCAAACTCAAATATCCCCCAAAAAGTGATCACAAGAGACTGGGGACGAGGCTGGTAATTTCTCAAGTTCCATACAATGGAACCTCGATATAACGAACCTCTATATAATGAAGTCCTCGATATAACGAACGATTTTCTTCAACCCGGCCCAAATTACAGTAAAATGTATGGAACAGAGCCTCGATTTAACGAAATCCTCGTTATAACGAACACAATCCACAAGCGCCAACATAACATTTACCTCGATATAATAAATAAATATCAGCATATGATAAAAGATGAAATAAATCCCAAACAGACCAACAAGGATAATATGTGAACAGTAGCTTAAAGCAGCTTTGTTTGCCTGTTCTTAAGTTTTCAGTGCCGTAGCTATGTATAGCGGGGTATTGAAATGTTACAGTGAAACCTCTATCAGGCGGACACCTTAGGGACCTTCCCAAGTGTCCGCTTAATAGAGGTTGTAAAAATTGCGCAATGTTTGTTAACGATCAACATTCAACGGTCACTATGTACGGTGATAAAGTTGCATGTTGTTAAAGAAGCCATCTAGAGTTCAAGTTCATTACCTTTCATTACCAACTTTAATTTGTCTGTAAATGCAAAACATTAACTGACTTCAGTACCTATTTCAAGGACGTAATCCAATACTACTATTGTCAATTCAGTCCGGTGTCCGCTTAATAGAGGTTTTTAACAATGGAAATTAGCCAAATACAACTCATTTTAGTGTCCGCTGAATAGGGGCTCGTTATAAAGGGAAATATCAGACGTTCGTTTCGGGACCCAGCTTAATGTCTGCTTAGTAGAGGGTGTCCGCAGAATAGAGGTCTCACTGTATTTCAGTAATTTTTCAAACCCGGAAATGCTGATTTTGAAGCTCCTGATTTAGAACGGGGTACCCATTTCAGAGGCGTTTTCTAGAACGGGGTATAATATTTCGAACGCACGAAAGCCCCAGTTTTGTAAGCAGCCATTTGAAATTATTCAAGGACGGATTGCTTTTAAAAACACGTTAACAAGCAAACTGTTGTACTCTTGTTGCACTCTGTGTTTTAGGGTACAGGGCGGGCGTATTTTAGCGTGAGCCGCGAAAGCTGACTCCGCCATCTTGGATAAATAGGCAGTCTGGAACGAGTCCATAATGTACCCGAGGGAGATGGAGACGGGCTCAAAAAGGAGAACTTGATATTCATGATTTTTTTTTTAATTAAAGTTTTTAACACAATTTAATAAGATGGGAAATAAAAAAATTGTGGATCACGGTTTTATCTTCTGCTTAAAATTGTTGCTGATTATGAAGAAGCATTTATTTGATGTATAAGTCGAACAAATAAAGAAATATCTTTTTAAAGAAACGGGGCTATTTCAATTTACAAACTTTCTAGAACAGAGTATAAAAATTGGCCCATTTCTAGAACGGAGTATCAGTTTTAGGGAGAATTCTAGAACGGGGTATAAAAAATTGACCGATTTTTAGAATGGGGTATCAATTTTAGGGGAAATTTTTTTTAGAACGGGATGCCAATTTGGAGTCCCGGTCGGCACATACCCACCCAAAAATACCCAAGTGCCCCCCCCCCCCCCTCGGGAGCCGAAGAAAAGTCACTTTGTTTGTACATGAAGCCAAGCACTGACATGTCATCTTTTGAATCAGTGATTAATAGAAACAGTTAATGCATCTTGCTCTTGCCACACAAGTTACTGACTTAAGCGAGTACGTGTATTCCTGGTTTACTTCGTTTGAATGGATCAACTCATACTTAACATGAAATCATAAACACAAAAACATATTTTGCAGGGCTAAAAGTGAAAAATAAATTTCTTTTTGTGCCAATATTATCAAATGTGCGTACGGACGTGGCGCTAGTCCCCTTCAAAATATTTGTCAAACTAATTTATGTTTCAACTTAATAAAAAAACCCTCCTCTCAACTAGCCTCCCACGCAGGCGTTTTTAGGGGAGCTCGTATTTCTTCCCTCCCCACAAACGTTTCTGGGGAGGGAAGAAATGGGAGGCTACCTCTCAACCAGCTCAATTTTGCAAACCATAATCTAGTTGTAACAAGAACGCGCTTACAGCGCCATTCAGTCTCCCTTGGAGATTAGATCGAGAAATGAGGAGGCGATTAATTCTACACGAAACAGGATTTACTCGGTAAAGGTTTTTTACGTCCTACTTTATCGACGTCGATACTTTTCACTTGCTTCTGAATTCATTTAGTACACGTGTTAGCGACGACTTGAAATACGTCTTCGGTCGCAGGCTATGCGCGTGTATAAATACACGAAAATTCAAGGGCCTCGATTCCAGAGAAATTACATCATTGCAAGAGATCAAAAAAGTATTTACATGGCACGTCATTTCAATCATCCCCGACAATAAATCGCATGCTCATCATAAGAGCCATTTTCATACAGTGAAAGTTTACAACACCTGACCATCGCAGTTTTCATTTTGCTAATTAAAATTCTTATTTTTTTCGACCGCTCAGTAGTGTTCACTTGCTTCAAAGAAATCAACGCTTTCAAGCGATAGAATTCGTGGACCGACATGTTTCGGAAAAGCTCTAAATTTAATCTTTCCAAAGCTTTCTTCGCAAAACATGCCTTGCTTCGATCTCTCAGCTTAGTCCCAGTTTCCACGGTCTCCGCAAGGAACGCATGGCACAATGACCCCCCCCATTTGTTTATAAAATACGAGGAAAAAGCCCGGGAGGGTACTTCCAGAAAAATTGGGTGGGGGTGTGCGACACGCTTCCTGAAAACGTTACCCTATTTCAGACCAAAATCTGTCAGGATTTTCCCAACCCTATTTCAGACCTGATCATAAATTTGATACCCTATTTCAGACCTGAAGCCCTGGAGCCCGGCGCGGGACCGGAGCGAGTGACAAGCTGTTACAGCACGTACACGGTTGGCGTAAACATTAAAAGGGAAATGGTCTTATCACCAAATGATGAAGAAGTAGCTTCTTCTAAAAAACATACCCAATTAAAAAATAGAGTGCACAAACCATACCCTATTTCAGACCAAAATGGTCAAAATTGATACCCTATTTCAGACCAAAACGGCTAAAGAAACATACCCTTTGGCGCCGCACATACTTATATAGTCTATATAAGGGACTACCCGCCAACGCCCCCCCCCCGGCGGGGCGAAAAACGCTTTATCGATCATTAGTCTCGCTGCTTACGCAAGCGAGACGAATGAATCCATTTAAATTTGCTGAAAAAGCAACAGAAAAAAAAAACTCGTACAATTATTCGTTTTCACCGACCTATAGTTTATGAAGATATCTTATCGCTACCCGCATTAATTAATAAGGGCAGCTTTGGTTACTCCGTATTTAGTATTTTTGTGCCTTAAACCCCGTATTAATTAAGCGATTTCCCCCAAAGATAGTGACTGCTAATTTTAGCAGTGCAAGTTTCTAAATATTACTCATGCTAAGTCAGCGTGGATGGTAATATAATACGGCTCCTCTAGATCTGATCTATTTTTACTTTACGGCCATTTATCATTAAGTTGTTTTTCCCGTTGTTCTTTCGCACAAAACCAACTTAATCCGAAACATTTTATTGCCTGATAACTCTCCTTTAATTATTCCTGTCGCTATCATGAGCAAAAGTGCTGTAATATCAACTGTAGTGTAACCATTGTAATTATTAGTAGTACGAGCATCGTATGGATGGTATTGTCAGTATAGCCAATATTGTAAATAGTGCAAGTATAGTGAATATTGTTAGTAGTATTTAGTTTCAGCAGTGTTTAGTACTGTAAACATTTAATATATGTCTGTAAGGCAAAATAAATAAAAAAAAAAAAAAAAAATCAACTGCGGATATTCTGTTCTCCAGCACAAGTAATCTAATTTCACGTCAGGACAAACAGTTGTCGATAACCCTTTAACCAAATATGCAAATACGCATAATCGATTTACCAAGATTCATGAATATTTTTCCATCGTTGTTCTCATGTCAAGCGAAACAGCTGAAGCGAAGCGACTTGCCATTTAATCATTGTAACTGTGTCGTTCGTTTTTAAGAAAATGGAAGGAGTAAAGCAGCTTTTGACTCCAACCCGCTTTAGCGTATTTGGCTACACTATAATTATACTTTTTGCTTCGACTGGAATCGCTTTCATTGGAATAACAAGCAAGTTAAGAATCAGCGAAAGAAGGAAATTTCTATGCGAAAAAAACGACGGTTTGTCTGACAAGAATTTTTATCAGGCGCAGTGTTTTGAAAAGTACGAACGACAATACAATTCTCCTCTACCTCTGTACGGATCTGTGCTTTTGAGTTTCTCGGTTGTTCTTATTGTTTGCTTCATTTACTCTTGGTGCTGTGTTAAGTCTTGGATCGACAAACTAGAAGCGGTGTTAACACCAGACGCGGAAAATCCACGTCCAAGACCAAGAGTCAAATCTCGTCGAATCTTCAGTTTTTACTTCGTTCATCTTGCAGCACGTCTGGTACTAGGGATTGCGCTAACAGCAGTTCAAAAATTTATAATGCATCCATCTGGATTTCCTGTAGGATTCACTTGTGTTTTAAAAGCAACTCAACCAAGGAATGTGACGGGAAATAAGGAGACGCAGGCTCTATGTCACAATCCAGTCGCCTCTGAAAAGAACATCTGCTTAGCAGCAGTATGGATACTGCAATCAGTTTTTGCGTTTCTCGTACTTGGAGAAATGCTTTACCTCGCATTGAGAGCTTTAAAACGTCCTGCCTTCACCTTTGATTCAGAATTCTGTGTAAGGTACTTCTTCCACAAAAGCGCAACTACCGTGACATCGGGTGGGTTAAGAGAGCGCATGAAAAAACGAATTTTACAACAAACAGAGCTTCTAGAACCACTAATCCACTGTAACGATGAAAACGACGGCGAAGGAAGGATTTACTTAGACGACATTTTTCTCGATGTAGTCATCTACACTGGAAGGGCAAAGGAAGAGTTTTTGAAGCAGTGCGAAAGACACCTAATATATGACTTCTATTTGAAGCCTGAAAGTCAGCGAGGATCAGTTGTGGTAAACACGCGCGCGGAGTTATTTCTTCCCAACGTAGACGCTCAAAACCCGCGAAAAATCCTCGTCGTTGGTCGACCAGGAATCGGAAAATCCTTGCTGTGCGAGAGGCTATTACGTGACTGGAGTAAAGGAGAACTCTTCTACGACAAGAAGAAGCAGTTTAAGTATGCTTTCTTGTTTCCATTTCGATCGTTTTTCGCAAAGTCAGAAGAGAAGATCTGCCTTCGGAAATTACTCAGTCGAGCTAGCAATCTCGATGGAGATCTGGATGATCACGTTTATCAAGAAATGTTAGATCACCCCGAGAAGATTCTACTTGTATTTGACGGCTTGGATGAGTTCAAAGACCACAAAAGCTGCACCGTGAACGACGCATCCCGATACGGGAACAGCTCCTTAGAGGAAATGCCTGCTTCTGCCTTGTACCTCAAATTGTTGCAGGAACGGCTTTTACCTGGAGCTACGGTGCTCACCACTAGCAGACCAACCGTTCTTGAAAGTCTAGGAATCTCACTATTTGAGCGGACTGTCGAGATTGTGGGCTTTACAGAAGAAAGGGTTCGCTCTTATGTTCAGAACTACTGCAAGCACGACCAAAACAACATGACAGCGACAAGAATGTGGGAACACATCCAACAGAATTTGACCCTTTTGTCTCTATGTTACATTCCCGTAAATTGCCGCATAGTTTGCTTCCTCCTGAAGGAGCTAATCAAGCTAAGCTATCAAAACAGCATCGCTTTACCCACAAGACTCACAGAAATTTACCAAGGAGCATTAAGACTCCTTATTTTCAAGCATCACCCAGAGTATCGGGAAAAACCATTTCTGGGAAATGAAAGTTTTTCAGAGTCAGTGGAAAAACACTTGAGCGATCTCGGAATGCTGGCAATGAAAGGAATAACAGAAGGGCGAATGATATTTGGATCAGATGAAGTAGGCGAGATGAAAAATTGCGGTTTGCTTACGCAAATGCCAGACTGCAGACTGTCTCTTGTCGAGTTCAAACAATGCTTTTGCTTCACTCATCTAACTCTACAGGAGTTTCTTGCCGCACGAGAAATAGCGAAAATGGATCCGCATAAACTCTCTGAGTTCATTGCAACTAATGCTGAAGATCCAAAATGGCACTTGGTTATTCAGTTTGTCGCAGGGCTACTGCATGGTCAACAAAATGAAGCAATTAACAGCATCGTAAGCCGACTTCAGGAAACATTGCTTTCTACGTCTTTCAACAGAAAGAAGGCGTTGCTGATGATGAAGTGTTTATACGAGTACAACGAAGAAGCTACAGTGAAGAGAGCGGCGTTTGAACTACAAAGAAAGAACAATTTTGAAAAGGCGATTCGCCTATTTGACAGTCAAATCACACCTACCGATTGCGTGGCAATCGTGTATTTTTTAAAACACATTGACTCTATAGACTACACACTTTACTTGTGCAGCAATTTTATAGGGGAGGGTGGATGTAAAGAGCTTGCTAAGTTGCTATCGGAAGGAGGTCCGGTAACACTACATGTTCCAGAAAACAAGATCACGGATCAGGGTTTAAATGCCCTAGCACAGGCCATTACATCGGACAGGTGCAAACTAAAAGAGTTAAACATCATACTAAACGACTTACTGAGTCCTGAAGGGCTTTCCCATCTATGGGAATCATTTAAGAACAGAAACTGTAAAGTCATTCGCTTGCGTCTTGGAGGGGACCAGGTAACGGAAAAAGTTATATCGCAGTTGTGCGATACAATGGAGAACGTGAACTGCAAACTGACTAAACTGAGTATTTTAAGCGAGGAAGTAGCTACTGACACCGTTTTACTACGTCTGTGTAAAACGCTCAAACACCCAAATTGTCAATTGACTATTGTTATTATCTTCTGTGACAAAATGACCAATGAAGGTGTTCGTCACATCTGTGATGCACTAGAGAATCAGCACTGTAAACTCACTGATTTACAGCTTGTCAGTAACCGTTTGACTGCAGTAGTGGTGCCTCTACTTTGTAAGGCTATTCGTCACAACAACTGCAAACTCAGTAGTCTGAAAGTTACATCTTGGAATATTAAGCCGGACAGGGGAGGCAAAGATCTGCAGGACGCCATAGAAGAAAAATGCCGAACTCGGAGCAGAAATCAGTTGACGAGTGCCGGAACATAATTTCCCTCCTGTTTGGCCATGGAAAAGACCTCGACAGGTCTTAGGAAAGAAACGGGTCTACTTTTAAGACTTAAATTTACTATCAAGGCTGAAACAAAAGAATATTTCTAAAAGTGACAATTGTACAGTGCAGAAATGATCTTAACATCGTTTGGTGTTACACACTCTTCTGGGGCAATAAGCGACTTTGCATGAATTATTTCGCTCTTCTCGCCAATGTTGAGAGCGAAATCATATTACTATGGCAAAATACCATCTGTATGTCATCGCCAGTGCTAAAAATGAATTTTATTTTACTCATTAGAAAAATGCATCGCATCTAAATCAGGCAAACAATATAAAAATATCACGAAATGGGAATCCTTACAAATATCAACTTTTCGTTTTGCCATTTTTACTTTTCATTTATCAAAGTAATGTAACGCAATGGATAGTACAGCGGTGAGAACAATTTCATCTAACTTGTTCTAAAACTAAGATGGCCCTACTTCAGTGTTAAAAGTCGTAGTCGTAATCACTTTCGTAATTAAAAATGAATCGGATTTTAATTGTTAGAGTTGAATGTTGTAATTTTAAGCGTAGAAGTTACGGCGCATTAAATTGCACTTCGTCACGCTTATCAGGCGACCATGTATGCAGCAATCTGAACCTGGGGAAGGTGATTCCTTCCCAGGGCAAGGCGAATAAATCAAAAATTCAATACTTTAACTTTTTCTCGAGTAGTGGTTACCCGACTCAGAAAACAATTCCCTAGCTGGCAGATAACTGGTCTCCCTCGAAGCCGTTTTTGTCTCGTCACGCAACACTCCTCCCCAAGTGTTGCGTGACGAGACAAAAAGGGCTGCGAGGGAGACTAGCAGATTACTCGGAGTCGACGACCAAGAAATTTGAAGAAAATGCTATGGAAACTACAGTGTTCTTACCAGGATTTTCTACACTGGGGTCCACAGGACCCAAAGAGAGGCTAAAAGCGGGTCATGAGGGAGAAAAGCGGGTCACAATTTTTAGATACAGTTAACTCAACTGATTGTGTGTTTTCTAAAGATGCCATAACCAATTAAATTTTGGCTTATATTATAAGGAAATGTGCGTATGCGTACGTTTGTTTACGTACGTTCTGTAAAAGTTTTTTTCTTCTTTGCACCTTTGTGACCCCTTGGCCTAATTAGAGTGCGCCAGTTCCCGAAAAAGTGCGGCAATGTCACAATAAGAAGAACGCGGAAACCAGTCTTACCGTGATTACAGCCCTGGCATTGTTGTCAGCAAAGTCGAGTCCCTCGCTTACTTTCCCTCTACATACCGCCAAGAACAGTCCTCCATCAACGTTTGATTCGTCGTCTGAATCTTAATCAAAGGATGGAGAAAATGCTATTGTTATATGTTACTTGACCTAAATGTAGTAAAATAGAAAAAAGAAAAAAAAAACAATTTGGCTGATCATAAGAGACGTAAAGGATCTAAAAGACAAACAAATACAAGTTATGTGGCCAGTGAAAGCACAGATAACCAGTTCATCTCACGTCCGCATAAGCTCGACTAAATCTGAGTTCCAAGAATCAGAAAGTTTCCATTTTCTCGTTGCTTACGATATAGTGAAAACCACATTGTTGGAGTCGTGAACAGAAGTGGAGGATTACACTGTACACTAAACAGATCTGTCTCAGCTTTAAACTGCCAGTTTAGCCCTGTAGGCCAAAGTCTGATTCAGCCTCTCCTAGAGCCATTTAAGCATAATTTAAGCCAAAATATCAGCCCTCGGCAACTGGACTGTATTAAGGGGGTCAATGTATTTATTGACCAGTAACGCCTACCCTTCGAAGCCGAAGATTGATGGCGTGGGGTCAGCTAACTATTACGAAAAAAGAAAAATGCAAAGTACATTTCTAGTTTACACGACTGTGATTGAATGAAGAATCCACTGAGTGATCGTTCTAGGGTAGAATGAGGGACGATGAGAGGAGGTACTGGTAGACCCACAAAACTGTACCGTATTTTACTCACCGAAAAGACCCAGGTCTAAAACAGATCTGTTTTATTTGCAGTGTAAACCAATCACAAAGCGCGGGTCCCGGCTCCATCTTAAGTGATAACCGGTCTTTGTGGGGATTTTTTTAACCGAGCAAGTCAGGAGCTCAGAAAACAAACCCTCATACCTAGCTCAGCGCTTTCTTCATCCTCGCTCGTTCTAACAGCATGGTAAAACTGGTGCATAATGTCGTCAAACTCTGCATTTTCAAATAAAATATTTGGATAAATCAACTGGCTTTATTTACAAGCGTAGCACATAACAGTTTCTGGACTGATAAATCTGTTCCTCTCAAATCCAAGATTGAAGTGGAATTGGAAATGTTGGGTTTTTTTTGGAGGGAAGATACCAGAGTATTGTTTGTAAGCAGGTCTACTTCAGCTTTCACGTTGCCTCTCATATAACCTGCTTTATCGATTAAAATTATGACGAAGGATGACGATGAACTTGCTGACCTGATTTATCTCCACCGCGTGGCTCACTGACAATTATTTTTCTGTCCATGAGTTTGGACCATAGACCTGTTGACTGAATACACAACTAATTAATTAAGTCTCGTTTTTATGCGGTTCTCTACATTTATATGGAAAAACAGCCAGAGTGCCATATAATTACAATTTCGTACCAATGCAAGCTTTTATATAGCCTCCCCGCAGAAGTCCGTTGGGGTTCGTTTGTCACGCAAATGAAATGAATGCGTGACAAACGAACCCCAACGGACGTCTACGGGGAGGCTAGCTTTTATACTGTGCAATCTTAATCCATCCTCAGATGATTACACGCAGGGCTATCATGAGGCTTTTCATGTGGTGATTTACATTTTTTACGGTAATAAATCAGGCGTTAACCCTTTCACTGCCAGAGAGCTTGATGGAGTTTTGTAAGGCGATTCTAACTTTTGAGTCTGCCGACGAAATCCTATGATGTGACCATTCAAATGAAAGCTCTCCGGCTGTACTTTAACATGATGCTATTTGTTTGTCAAAATTTTAGAAAACGAAATTTGGCAATTTGGTTGAAATTTGTCTTTGGCCACATTTGGCAGTGAAAGGGTTAATAATTAAAAAAGAGTTGTAATAGTGTTATTATCATTTAAACTTGTGTGAAAAGATGCCTATCCTCACCCCTTGAACGCCCAAACGCACATAGGACGGCTCTAGCAAAGGACGCCCATCAATGGCTTCGCCATATTATAAAGAAAGGGTCACGTGACACTCAAGGCATGACAAGAAATCAAATGTCTTCTTCTACAATGGATACAATATCTACAAGTTTTATTTACCAAACCCCCTTAAAATAGGTGTTTTAGAAGGATTTCCACTGACAGCCTCGTTTTCACGTAGGGCATTTTACGGCCTGCGCAGTACTAGCGTCTGGTGGCTTGGCTCCATATCCAAAAATGTTAATCTTTGGTCGATACATGGGCTGGGTGTGAAACTGAAATGGTATTTAAAGGCATATTTTTGTTCCGAGCCCAGATCTGATGTCCCTGGTAAAAGCTGGACTGAAGAGGTCACGAACATTATCAGTGTATTTCTCTGTCCTAGACACTCTCAAAACTGTTTTAAGCTTCATTTTAGCATGCATAGCGTATCCCTATAGAGAAAGCGAAAAAAATATATTTATCGTATAAACACCAGCGCAATACCAGGTGAGCTTTCCCGCGAAAACATGATATCTTCACACGTGAAAAATAACGTTATTTTCACATGTGAAAGCGAAAAATATTTAGGTGAAACGGTTTGGCATTTCATTGGTGTTTATATATACGAAATTTCTCTTCGAGTGTTGAATATTTCATGAGTGAGCGCAGAGAACGAGTGAAATATTTTTTTCAAGACGAGAAGACAAATTTCATATCTCTGCGCGGCCATAACAATTTATCAGATTCTCGTTATTTTGGCAGCTCACGGTATCTTATTCCAAAAGTTCGGAAAAACTCTACCCTTGGTCTAGCAACAAAAGGTTAACTAAGGAAAGCACGAGATATAGGATTACCTGCCAACGTTTGCTGAGCTTGTCTAACATGTTGTACGATGGAAAGAAACACAACACTCCATAAGGGACGGTCTAAACAATAACAAGACAACAATGTCAAAGCTGGATTGCCAGGAATAACTAGTTTTTTCTATCTAAGTCGTAAGGTGATGTGCGTAGGAAAACCACGCGCCCAGTCGTATTTGAGAAAGTAGC